GAGGATTCGTGGGCATCTTCTCATGAGGATTGCCATGTAAATCAGTGGTTGTGGTTATAGTCGTGATTGTAGTCGTGGTTGCAATCGTGATGGTAATCGTGACTCCTAGTCGCGTTTGTAGTCGTAATCGTAGTCGTGGTTGTGGTCATAATCGTCGTCGTAATCGTCGTCGTATTGTAGTCGTAGTCGCAATCGTAGTCGTAGTCGTCGTCGTCGTCGTTGTTGTGCGGCGGGTGCTGTGGCGAGAAAAAATCTTGACGCCTCGCGTACCCCCACCTTTTGCGCCTGGCATTCCTGCGCGCTCGCGAACAAACAAAAGTACCCCCACCAGCCCATCCAGAAACGAAGCCCAGCGAAGTTGAGGTGATCAGGTAAGTGGGGGAGCATGGAGAAGAACAAAGGGCGGGGGAAGCCGTCCGAGGTGGGGGAGGGAGATGAGGGAGGAGGGAGCAGGAATAGGCGGATAAGGAGGAGGAGGAGGAGGAGAAGGATCAGGAGGAGGAACAGGAGGAGGAGGAGGAGGAGGAGGAGGAGCAGACGGAAAAGGGGACGAATCTAAGATGCTCTTCGGATGTCTTTTGGGTTTTTTTTGGAGGCCTCTTGGAACGTCTGGGGGGCATCTTGGATGCCTCGGGGATCCTCTTAAAGCCTCTTGGGGGCATCTTGGGAGTCTGTTGGAGGCATCTTGGGCGCGGGCGCCTCGGGGGGCCGTCTGGGCGCCTCTTGGGGCCCTCTTGGGGCGCTCTTGTGTGCTTCGGGAGCGCTCTTCGGGCCATCTTGGAGGGCATCGATGAAAGAAGGGGGGGCCCTTGATTACCCTCGCCATTCTAGAGTGCTTAGCATCGCCTCTTGGGCCCCTCTTGGGGCGCTCTTGGGGCGCTCTTGGAGCGCTCTTGGGCGCTCTTGGGGCCTTCTTGGGGCTCTCTTGGGCCCCTCTTGGGGCCCTCGTGAGCCCTCTTGGATCCATCTTGAAGCCTCGGAAGGTCATCAGAAGCGAAACGGCGAGAACACAAAACACATTCATTTCCCTTAGGTGGTGGAAGGGTTTCGGCCTCTTCGGGGCCTCCTTGGGGAGCTCTTTGGCCACTTGGAGCCGTCTTGGATCGGTCTTGGGGCCTCTTGGAACATCTTGGGAGCCGTCTTCAGACATCTTGGGATATCTTGGGCAACCTTGGAGCTCATCTTGGGCTCTCCGAGGCGCTTTTGGAGGCATCGTTGGCCATGTTGGACGCTCCAACCCCTCGCGGGACCCTCCGTCCAGGTCCAGGGGAGGGGGGGGAGGGGTCAGGCTACCCACCCGCCCGCAACACCCGAGCTTGAGCATGTTCAGCGGTCGTCTTTGGATGGACAGCTACTGGGAACCAAAGCCGACCCCAGGTGCGCGACGCTTGGGCGAGGTGCGCCACGCGGGCCAGAGGCGCCACGCGCGCCAGGCACCCCTAAACCCAAACATACCAAGCACGCCTGGTGCGCCAGATGCGCCATGTGCTCCGAGTGCGCCAGGTTTGCCGCACACTCCAGCCGCGCCAGGTGCGCCATGTTCGGGGCACGTGCAGAGTGCGTCAGGCGCGCCTGCGCTCGTGACAGCACATATCGAGAACCGTGTCCGTCCCCGCCATCCTTGTCGGACACCAGTGCCCATCATTATGTCTGGTGGGCCTGCGCACAGCAGGCCACGCAACACCACCCCCGTCGTCCCTGTCAAAAATCATTTGACAGTGATTGCGGGATGGCCGCGCATGATCCAGATAGAGTTGCGATGTGCATGTTGCACTGTCTTTTTTGTCAGGGATGGTAGCCCTGCGAACGGCAGGAAACATGCTGGAAATCTGCTGGCACCCCCGCCGTCCCTGTAAACAACAATACACAGTATTCGCGGGCCTCACGAACATGACTCAAGACTTTGCCCCACACTGTACTTTGCATGGTTTTTGTTACAGGGATGGTGGGGGGGGGGCGCATCGGGTTGGCCGCGCATGCTCCAAATGTGGAGGGAGTGTGCGGCTTGTATTGTTTTTTTTGACCGGAATGGTGGGGGGCGGGCCATCATGGTGTCGGCATGGTTCCTGGTTGGACGCGGGCCGGGTGGGGGATGGGGGTGTATGTGAATAAGGAAAAGTGATAAAACCCTTCCCGAATGGGAAGAGGGGCAGCTGGAAGACGAGACACGCTAGACCTCCTGCGCAATAACGGGCTGGTGGGGTGATTTCGCACTTTTTGGTGGGGCCCCTGTCCGTCAATGAGGGCGTCGAAAATATAATTGGCTTCCACAAGGACTGCAGAGGTTGAGTCCACACTCTGGGTCAGGATCAGAGAGGTCACAATGCCAGGATGGTGGCTATCTTGGTTGGCCAAGATCGAGGTGCAGGCCCTGGTGATCTGCAGGCGATTTCGTTGATCGGGGTCGCGAGGCTGTCTGCGATTTGATTGTTTTGGTGGTGCAGGCCGATGTCTGCGGGTGTCATCGGTCGATTCCATTGCGCCCTGGCAGCGATTTACCTCGTCTGCGTGCGTTGACCAGATCAGTTCGGTTGTGTGTGCAGGAGAGTTGATCGGTTTGTGAATGAACGCTGCTGTGGGACAGCCATACGTCACGGTGGTTGCTGTCCCGCACCAGGTGTGTCACAGCTCACCGAGGAGCAGAAGTCCCGCATCGAGGAGAACAGGCCCGTGGCAGAAGAAATCTGGCCAAGTGGCCAGGTGGGAGGAGCATCAGTGTTCAATGTGTTCTCCTCCATATTTCCTTCCGTCCTTCCCTCTTCTCGCTCATCCCTCTTCCTTTCCTCCCTCTTCCCTTCCCTTCGCTCCCATCTCTCATCCATACTGCCTCCCTACTCCATCCGCCTTTCTCCCTCGTCCCCCTCCCCCTCCTACATGATGTGCAGGAGTAGCAGGAAGGTAGGAGCAGGGGGGAGGAGGGAGGAGGAGGGAGGAGGGAGGAGGAGGAGGAGGAGGAGGAGGAGGAGGAGGAGGAGGAGGAAGAGGAGACGGGGCGGTCTCCATCCTCCTGCCCCTCCCCCCCCTCCCCTCCCCCTCCCTCCTCCAAGCCCTCCGCGCCAGCAGCAAGTGTTTGCACAGAATGCGTTCCCGTCAGCGTCTGCGGCCTCCTCCGGCGGTTGTCTTTGAGAGGTCCAAACGCAGGAGGCCGAACGTGTCTTCTGGCGCCAGGTGTCCCCCCCCTGACATGGGCTCCGCCCCCCGCCGAGACTCCGGCATGCCTGGCGAGGAGCTGCCCTGACTGGTTTTTCCCTCCCCTCCCTCCTCCCCTCCTCCTCCTCCCTCCTCCCCCCTCCTCCTCCTTCCTCCCCTCCTTCCCTCCTCCCCCCCCTCCCCCCCTCGGGCTCCTCCCTCCCCTCCCCCGCCCTCCTCCCCCCCTGTTGGCCGCGAGGCGCAGGGCCGAGGAGAGGCGCGCGGCGAAGAAGCGCGCGCTGGAGCCGGGCGCCCCGGAGGCGAGGCCCGCGCGCGCGAGGGCAGGCCTGCCGGGAGACGAGTCGGGGGCCGCCCAGAGGGGGGTGGTGACTAGGGGGGGGGGGGGGGGGAAATCATGGCGGGGGCCATGATGTCTCCCCAAATTTCACGGCGCTTCCTCTTGCTTCAACACGTCCCCGATCCCCCCCTGGGCCGCGCACGTGCCGCTGGCTATGATTGCGCCCCCCCCCTCTTGGACGCCTCCCTCTTGGCCGCCCCCGGACGATGGGCCCAGACCTCCGACGACGGTCTGAAGGACTGAAGTGAGAGTTTAACGCTTCCACTCTTGAACAGGCACTGCTACTGGGGGCAGAGATGCCACCGATGCTGAGATGCAAAGACGAGGATGAGATTTGCATTGCAGCATCCTTCAAAATCGTGGGCCTGGAGATTGCACTGGATACTCAGCATGTGAAGGGGGCCCGGGAGTTAGTTGAAACATTTAGCATTGATCTTTAGCCAATTCAGCGCACATTAAGAATATGTTCAACCAGCTGATGTAGGTAAGGAAACTGAGTCCCATGTGAATGCTGCACTTATCAGCGGTACCTATTCGGGATCCCCAAATTTTGTTATCAATAGCCGACTCATGTCAAGCTTAATGTAGCCGCCAATCTCAGCACCAGTTAATGTCATCCAGGTGTGGCTACGGAGCCCACCACCAGCAACCCGCTAATTACTGCAGCTCTGGTGGCCTTCGGCCCATCCCGCCACCGTGCCTGGGTTGTGCGTCAGAGTTCTCAGGGATGCTCCGTCGGGTCTCTTCGGCGCGCTCTCGGGGGGCTCTTTGGAGCCTCTTGGGGGCTTCTTGGGAGCCTTTTGGGGCCTCTGGCGAGCCGCTTGGGGGCCTCTTGGGGGCTTCTTGGGGGCCTCTTGGGGGCCTCCTGGGGAGGGCCTCCTGGGGAGGGCCCTCGGGGCCGAGGGCTCGAAGTGTCCGTCCGGGCTTCCCTTCTGGGCCCGTTCTTGGGGCCGTCTTTGGGCTCTCTTGGGCTGTCCTGGGCGCCTCTGGGCCCTCTTGGGCCGTCTGGGGGCCCTGGTCTGGGGGAGGAGGAGGAGGGGGAGGGGGAGAAGGAGGAAGAGGGGGAGGAGGAGGAGGAGGAGGAGGAGGAGGAGGAGGGGGAGGACGAACAGGATGCCTCTTAAGTGGTTTCTTTGCGTGCCACTGAGGGCCTGATCGGGGTCTCTCGGGGGGGCCGTCTGGGGCGATCTTTGGGGCCTCGTGGGCCGTCATGGAGCGTCGGAAAGCCGACCAGGCGGGAAGGCCAACAACTTGCGAAAGACCGAGGGTGATACATGTCTTCGGGGCCTATGAGGGCGTGTTGAGGCCATCTTGGGCGCATTGGGCCACTCTTCGGCCTTCTCGGAGGTATCTTCGGCGCCTTGGGGGCCCATGTTTGGCTGTCTGCGCTGCCGGAGGACGCGCGCGACACGCTCGGGGATTGCCAAGAAATCCCCAGACATCTGGGTGATTCCGGAGGAATTCTTGCAAATTCTCATGAGTCCCCAGAAATCCTTGTGAAATCGGTGGCCCGGATTTTTGAAGCATTTTGAAACCCTACAATTCTGAATTTCTCAGGGCTGCATGAGCCTCGGAGCACTCCACTAAGTGCTGCAGGCACAGTGGCGGACTCCTATCTACGCAGGATAGCATGGAATTATTGCGGTTTCAAATTGCGCGACGTGTGACGCAACAATTCGCGCAGACATTAGCCACGACACCCAACATACATTCAATCCGGCAGAAAACATAGCGATGGGTTTAATAACAAACCGACATTTAGCTTTTTGGAAAAGCTCGACACTTGCGAATGGGAAGCAAGCCTGGCAAATGAGCATGAAAGGTAAGGGTGAGCATTGCCCATACAAATGAGCTCAGACATTATGCGTCAAGCTCAGCCTAGAAAAGAGACCTGACATGAGGCTTGGATTTCGGGAGGCAATTGGGCCATAATGTTAAGCTTGGGAATTTAGCTTGGAATTGGTCCCTGCCATCTGAGCTCCGTCCTAATAATGGAAGTGGCCTTGTCAAGAGAAAGCAATGTTTGTCACGAGCATACGCACACAGCTGTACGTGAACACGAGAACCGAGGTTCGGACAACAAGGTGGGGTTGCACCATCAACATTCAAGAACCTATCTGCAACAACAAACAGCCCCGATATTTAGCCGTTAAAAAGACAAGTGTTTGTTGAATTTCGCATTGTATCCGTAGGATTGTCATTCTTCCCTTGGGGGTCAGTCTTCGGTGCGCATTCGTGGCGGCCAGAGGCGTTCGGCATTTGCGAGGCTCTTGTGGTGCCCATTCGGCGCTGTAGCCAGTGCGCCAATCTGGCCGCCTGGTGTGGCGGTCGCCGCCCTCGCCTCCCTCTCCCCCCACCCCTCTCTCCCTCCTTCTCCTCCTCCTCCTCGTCCTCCTCGTCCTCCTCCTCGTTTTCTCCCTCCTCCTCCTCCTTCTCTTCCTCGTCCTCCTGCTCCTCCTTCTCCTCCTTCTCTTCCTCCTCCTCCTCCTCCTTTTCTCCTCTTGCCACTCCCACTCCTCCTCCTCCTCCTCCTCCTCCTCCTCCTCCTCCTCCTCCTCCTCTCCCTCCTTCTCCTAAGCGTCTCGGCACAGGCGCTTTCCATCCCCCCCTACTGACATGTAGCCTACCACATCTCAGGCGCTGATGAAAGATCCTATATATCTCACCCTTTGTTCCCCGAGGTCACCGCTTTCACTGTATCTAAGCGGCTAGCCGGCCATCGCAGTGACAGATCACATGCAGAATTTGTCTTTCTTGCAAGTCAACCCTGAGTCTGCGTCTACTTCGGATCGCTTAGCCGCATCGCCGCGCAGGTGGATGTTGTGTCCCCCACCGGCACGGGCGGCAAGAGGTATGGGGAGGCGGTGGCATGGAGGAAGGCGGGGGACAGGTGGATGGCGGAGATAGGCTGGACGAGAGACCCTTTACCAACAACTCGGCGGGTTGCGGTATCCTGCTAGGCAGAAGGATTGCGAGTAGGTCTGTGAAGAACGTCCGGAGTGCGTCCTCTACTTTGTCGGGGCGTCAAGTTGAGTTGCGCGCTTTCTTTGTAAGTCGCCCTCCTGGGAGTGTGCGCTTGCATAGGAGAGCGTCCTACAAGTCGAGGAGGAAATCCTTTCTCCGTGGACCCAGGAGGGCGTGGGCTGGTCCAAAAATTAGCTGGAACTTATCGGCCTGTACTTGCGACGAGCTGCCAAGCGCCGAATGTCACCACCCTGGTCCTTGCCAATAGATGTTTGGGATGCTGTTCCAGCCTTACCCGCGCGCGTATCGGAGATATCTTGGTCTTGAGTATGAGGCACCAGAGCTTCATCTTAATCAGTTACGCCTGTTTTTTTTTGGGGGGGGGGGGGGTTGTTTATGTCTTTCTCTTTTTGTTTTCTGAAGGCCTTCGTTCACGAGATTTACCGCGCCAGCCAGTCCCCCGCCGCCTGGGACCTGTCTATGGGGGTCGCCACTTTTTGGAAACGCGCCATTTATGCATTGCCCCCCTTCGGCAAAGCACGTATTGCTACCAGCCTGGACCCTGCCGAGCAGGTCAACGAGCCCGAGTTCGTTCACAGGCGCGTCTCCCGACGGCGGCGTGATACAGCTATGATGATCTAACAGTCTGTCGGCTGGAGATTGCGACGCCTCGGTTTTCGCCACATCACGGACCACAGAGATATCTCGAACGCGTTTGGTAGTAGTTCTAGGCAAGCTATTCTTGAGGCTAATCAGAGCATCATGAAAGATGGGGAGACACGATTCGGATCACAGAGGGAATATCTTTCGACTGTCTGTTTTGTAGGCGCGGACGGGATTTCCTTCGCCAAGCCGACGGCGGGAGCATTGCCGGGTGATCATTGGGCCGCGAAGGTTTTAATGCGGGATATCGGTGAGGTTCACCAGAGGTCCCAGGAGGACTTCGAGGCGTCGGGGGAGCTCACGGCTCAGCGGTGTACTATAGCGACCCCTACTGACCAGGAGGACCAGGAGGATGCGATATTTGACCTCTGTCCACGCGCACGTCGATGACGTTGCTATGAAACTTGCGGCAGGGGGCCCTGAGAGGCTAGAGGTTGAGATCAGCAGGCCATCCACGCTGTATGATAGCATCCTGGCGCGTCGACTGCAACCAGGCCACACAACTGCCAACTTAACCCCAGTAATAATGAAACGGTACTCGCATGGTTTGGAAAGGATTCTCACGTCTCTTGTAGGCGCGTTCGTGAAAGGGCTTGTTCGGCTAGCTGGCACACCGAACGATGGCGCCAAATACCGAGGCGGCTTCGTTCGAGGAGATGGCACCTTCGATCCGGATCTCGACCGTGGATTATATGTGATCGATGTTGGCTTTCATAGCATGGGGCGTCTCCGGTACCAGGCGAGGGCCCCGCGTGTGGAGCGACGAGCTGTCTTTCTCAGCAGGGTCCTGGGATCTGCTGCGTCTGGGGTTAAGGCCTGCTTGCTCACGGACGCTCAGATCTCGATGTCGCAGAGCAGGGCCATCGCGCGCGCGCAGGGCTTCGCGGGGCCTGGCTGCCAGGGGACCAACGGCCAGAAGGCTTCGATTAGCAATGCTGACGTGTGCAGGTACTGTTAGAAAGCACCACTCGAAGTTGAACCCCGAACCCGACGAAATAAGTAGCGTCAGCGTTGGGTACAGCGTCTTGGCCGACGCTTGTCAAAATGGGCTGCGCCCTTTGGCGCAGTGCAGATTGAGCGCGAGCAAGGCTTGCAGATTAGGGCCCTGGCCCCCAGCTTACCTCGGCGGCATGCACCTTGGCCAGACGAGTCATAGCGGATATTAGCTCACTAGTTGAATTAGGTGATGTTGAATGCGAATACTTAGCAGACTTTAACAGCAGCCCCTTGCGGTTATTTCAGAAGCCCACCTTGGTTGAGTGGTTCCCGGGCGTTGATGCGAAGAGGCTTCGGGCGCATTGGTTGCGCGTATCCCTCCCGCCGCCTGAATTCCAC